ACAATGATGACTTCAACTCGATATATATAGCATGATCATTAGGCACACTGGGAAGGTAAAAAATATTGGTAAAGGGAAGCTTAAGAACTGTATCTTAATAAGTCACACATGTATAAATATGAATAGTTTCTCTGGTGTGAATAAACTATAACAGTACATAAGATCCTAATGAGATAATTGACACTGTGAAATAGGAAAAGGGCTAAAGGTGTAGGGAAAGTGGGAAGGGTAGGGGAAAGGTAATAAGGGAAAAGAAAAAAAATAGGAGAAAATGAAAAAATGGAAATGAAATGTTTGTAAATGGGGAGGGGAGGAGGGGGTGAAGGGAGGGCAGGGACAAAGGGAAAAAATGAGAACCAAGATCTGTCATGTAAAGGTACAAGATCCCAATGATGAATGTAACTGTACTGTATACCTAAAATGTACCAATAAACTCAATGAGAAAAAAAAATTATATCTTAAGAAATGTATCTTAAGAAATACAGTCAAAAAGTTTATTTTCATTAAAAATATGGCAGTTGGGGCCAGGGATTTAGCTCAGTGTTTCCATCACCTGCCTCGAAAGTGCAAGGTCCTGAGTTCGATCCGTAGTACAAAAAAAAAAAAGGCAGTTGTCTTATCTTACCCTGTGGTTGCAGTGAACAACCACAAAAACACCATTCCACCATTCCAGGAGTTCAACCAGTCCTCAAGTCTATCCTTGTGAAGCTCTAGTGTTCTATCCTCTTGAGACCCTGGAGCCCTCACAGTGAGTAGTATAATCAGAACACGGCCACAAATCTACCGCATGCCCAACCAAAGTCATGACAGTGAAGCACAAGTGTTCCCTGCTTTCTCACGGGAAGACTGGAGAGGCTTGTACATCCCACACTGTTGTAGTTAGGAGTTTGAAATCCTCTTTATCCCTGCCCAGAGCTATAGCTTTCTAACAGGAGCCAAGAAAGGCCCAGTTTTCCCCAGAGTCCCAAAGGTGAGGCAAAGGCAAAAGAGGCTCCCTGCCCTGGACAGAGTGCACAGGGCAATCAAAGCCGATATGTCAGCTGCCAAGGACACCTAGAGTTTCATTTATTATAACAGCATTAAGATAAGGAATATGTGATTGGTTTCTCTCAGCTTCAACTTAACTATTTTCAGAAGTGTCTTTTCACAGCCAGGTATGGATTACATGCCTGTAATCCCAGCTCCTCAGGAGGTTTGGACAGGAGGATTGCAATTTTAAGGCTATCCTGGACAATTTAGCGAGACATCATCCTAAAAAATAAAAAATTAAAGGATGGGGATGTAGCTTAGTGATAGTTCCATGCCTAGCTGGCAAGAGACCCTGAGTTCAACCCCTAAAACCACTACAAAACTCAACTAAACAAAATACCAAAACTTTTCCCCAAGACAAAGTGTAAAGAGGAATAGGGAAATGATGTACCCATTGATCCCAAATTATCACTATTTTGGTTTTACAAATATAAGAAACAGGCCCATGGTCACTGATGAATGAAAGGCTTTCATTCAGTTCCTGGGCCTTGTGGAGAAGGAGAACAAGGAAAAGGGCCCTGTATCTACGTGATGTACCACTTGGACAATCTCCTTTCCACTCTGAAATAGAAACAGATCTGGAATTACTTCCACTAGGAAATTATTACTAAATAATACACTTACTAAGATATCAGCTAGAAAGCTTCATTGGCAGACTGGTAAGTTTGGAAATTAGATCCTAAATTTGAGAGAAGCTGTCATTTCCAAAACAACTGTGTAAAATTTTTCCCCTTTTAGGAACCAGTCACAAAAATATGGGCATACTAAAATCTAAAATCCGAAAAAATAAATACATAAATAAAAATAAAATCTGAAAATATTCTTGACTAAGTTCTGAAGGACAGATTGCAAGCTCATTTCTAAACATCAAACTAATGACACAAAACTCTTACCTTAACCATTATCAGTTTATTTATATATTTTACTCGAACAAGCACTTGTGCTAGCCATGTAAACAGTGGATACACAATTCAGATGTAATAAATCTACAAGGGCACTCCTGTTTTGAAAAATCAAAACTGTTTAGTGAGAAGCTATGTAGAAGCCTGTAGATGGCTGGGCCTGGTATGTTTGGCAGGATTTGGAACAACAGTGTTGATTATCCACTTTCTTCAGCCAAGTATCAGTGGATATAACAGAAAACAGGAGACCTCTTCCTCTTGGCTTTTCCTTCAGAGAAGTTACAAAGAGTACCAATCATTTAAGAAGCAGTGTGATTTAACCAAGCTGTGTAATAGCCTAAAAAAACTCCTTCTGACCACCAGAGGTTCCAATTTTTGCATTGTCAGAGGCAATGCTTTTCAACATGGGCTGAGAATTACACTGAAACCAGGATAACCTTTGAAATGTCAATGTCCTAAAAACCAATTTAATTGGTATTGAAGTAAAATGACTGGGCCCAGGTAGTTTTGAAAAACTGTCAGGTGATTCTAAGAGCAGCCCAGATTCAAAACACACCACCACACACACACGCGCACAAAGGCTTATCACATAAATGGAACAAGAATGGATCTTGCAATCATCTTTTTCCTTGCGACCATCTTTCTCCTGTACCTTATGGATTCTGCAGAATCAAAATGTCACTTTGCCCTGCTGCAATATCACTATGTACTTCTCATATCACAGGAGCAAAGCACTTTGCACCCCAAGATAAAATAAAAAATTATAGGTTCATCTAACTGATAGTGATCTAAAAAAACTTTGAACATTTCCCATAAAACTTGGCTCCCTAACAAAAGCAACTTTGGCCATAATTTTTGCTATACTGTGTGCGACATCTGTTGTGGCCCTTTGTGAACACGATGATCACGTGAGGCGCTTGCTGTCTTTCCCTCATGTGCAGACTAATGCAAACTCAGAAATCTTAGCAGATTTTGATTTTTTTTCCTTTGAAGACTGTTTTTCTCACTTGCTAAGATAAGCCTTCTCTTGTTGTCCTTGCAGGTAAACATTTCCTTTCTGAAATACTTCTCTGTGTCTGAGTCATATTTCAATAAGGTAAAGGGCCAAAGAGTGTTAGGCTTCAGTCTTCTGCAAGTGATTAGGTAAAGAGCTGAGCATGGAGAACCTGCTCAGTTACCTTCCATGTCAGGAGCAGTAACCCAAGATCCAGCTCAACCACAAAAAGTGTCCACTGGCTGTTTTGAGAAAATCCAAACACTGGTGTCAGGCTCCATTGCTGTAGGCTTCTTGGGAGGGTTTTGGTCTTATTAACCTTATCTGCACCAGGCTAATTATTATTACCAAATGATTGTATAAGTTAAAGAACTCACCAAAGACATATGGAAATATGCAAACAGCAAGGGACCAAGAGAGCTCAGCTACTTTACTTTGCTGGCACTACATGGAAATGATTACAAAATGCTCTACTGGCTTTCAGCTAATAGAATGGCAGCTAGCAAATCTTACCTGAAAGTTTAAAACATGAGAACTGTGAAATGAAAGATCTCACCTGTCCTGTTTTATTCCTGGGCACTGATTGGTGAACATGGTAAATGCTCAGTAAACATATGTTAAATGACTGAAAAGCAAGGACTCTGAAACTTTCTAGCCCACAGAATTTAGGACTGTAATAGCATCTTTGCAAATAGGGAACTTACTTATACCTGATTCAAATATAAATGCTACCCTAATAGGACAGCACTTAACTTTTCTTGAAAAGTAAGTTCACTGCTTGAAAAGCAGTTCACTAACAAGTCTAATGCCAATCCAATTCAGCACTCATTAACAGTATTCACTAAGTTCCCTTTGGATTTTAAATCTCCCCATCACCCCAATCAGTTGAGACTGGAGCATAGAGGTGGCCAAACCTGGAAGAGAACAACAGCATCAAACCAAGACTAACCCACCCATATGCTGATACAACTTCTTGTGCTAAGCCCAATAGGCCAGTGGAATCTAATTAGGTCAAACAGATTCCTTCTAGAATGCCTTCTAGGAGGGTTAGGAAGGCAGAAGAGTCACATAAAGGAGCAGAGATGCCAGAAGAAGTAGAGATTAGCCAAGCTCGGGCCAGGGATTTGGCTCAGTGGTTCTACTGCCTGCCTTGCAAAACACAAGGGCTTGAGTTCAATCCCTTGTACCACACACACACACACACACACACACACACACAAAGACAGAGAGACTAACCAATTTCAAGTTTCCCTGACTTTATACCATCTACTTCTGAGGCAGAGGACTTATTTCAGTTATTCCAAGGCATGCCCTCTGGTTTTATAAACGAAGGAAGGCAAGAGTGAACCACTCACTCATTTAGCACAAAATTGGGATCAAAGCCCCAAAACATAATAATGATATTTTGATACTGTACTTCAAAAAGGGCATCACTAGTACTTACAGTGCAGTGTTTAGCACAGGTAAATCTTAAACACTTGCTAAAATACAGAACAATAACTAGAAGCAGAGATTAAAAAGTCCAAGGTAGATTACTGACACAAGCTTTCTTTGAGTTCATTTCCTCACTGTGTGGGTGATTCTGAGCAGGCTGTAATGGGCCAAGCACCTACCTAGTTTGAAACGACATTTTTAAAAATCATGTGTTTCTCTATCCTTTTCCTATAGCTGGTATGTTATGGATAAACTAGATTTGGACTAACCCAAAATAGTCAAATTGGATAATAAAATTACATTAAAGATTTTAAATAGATTTATCACATGACCTGCTTATGTACATAAACTCCAAAAGAATTGAAAGCAGTATAGAAAAGTTGTTCGCATACTTATGTTCACACTTTTTGCATGATAGTTGAAAAGTGGAAGCAATCTGTATTTGACCTAGAAATCCTCAAAGCATGCTGAAAATCTGCTAAATCCACAGCTCTGAATGGCTTCTTAGTAATGGGAATTAATCAATGAAATCAGCAGGTAATTCATTGTCTCCTGGTTTCTGACAAGGTGATTCACAGGGAAATTGCCAGTAATAACTACAAAAGATTCAAATTTGATCAAATCTGAGATGAGCTGTTGGATACTTCAGCTATAGGCACCATCAAACTATTTCTACACGTCTGTGTGAAAGAAGCCCTAACTGTGTAATTTTCTTCAGTCACTTCAAATTCATCTCATTCCACTCTTCCTTATCTTTCCCTTCATTGTCTTCCTTATATCCCAGAACTAGGGGGCAAAGTTTTCTGATTCTCACTCCTGTTTTCTTTCTGCTGAAGATCCAGAGGCCAGGTGGCTAACTTATACATCACAGGAAATAATACAGCAGTGAATATTGCTGACCCCAAACAGGTATACAGAACCACTGGCAAATCCGGGTATTGTCCTTGAAGAATTCCAATTACTGCAGGAATAGCCATTTCTCCAAGAGCACCACCAATGACAAAAAAGGCTGCAGATTTCCCATTTATGCTTGTGTACTGCTCAAGCCAAGAAATGCCACTGGGAAACGTGCTGGCCATTGAGGCCCCATACACTGAAGTTGCTATCCAGAGACAAAGTGGGTTCTTGTCAAAAAGCACCAGAAATAACGATGAGACCAGGCTGCCAATGTTGCTCAACAAAATCATGGTTCCAGGCTGCAAACACGTAGCGAAGAAGATTGCCAGGCCCCTGCAGGCTGCAAAGGTCCCCCAGAAGATGGAGTTCAACCCAGCCGCTTCACTTTCTTGCGCCCCAACATAAAAGAAGAAGAACATGAAAAGGAGACAGAGCAGGGCCTTGTGATATTTAGCTCTTCGAGACACCTGGGCAGATGCTGTGGATTTTCCATGCTTTGAGGGTTTCTTGAAAAACAGAGCAAACAGGAAGACAGAAACCACAAAAGTGTACGCGCCGACAGAAGCATAAGCCCACAGTAAGTTCAAGTCATCAGGTGCTGCAAACAGAGGGTCCGGGCCAGCTTCAGGGGATTGGTTGAGGGCTGGAGGATGAAGGTCAGGCTCCGTGTGGTTTTCGGCGGACACTGTGGTTCCCAAGGCCAATTTTGCCAGAAGAGGAGCCAAAAAGGCACCCAAGGCAAAACTGAAGTGCAGGGCCTGCATGTGTGGGGCTCCTTTGTCCCCCCATAGAGCCAGGATAAGGACATTCCCACCTACCAATGAAAGATGCAAGAAATTTTTTAAGCTATATATAGTAGCTTAGTAAAAAAAATAAAATAAAAAACAATTTATTACTACTAGAGCGAGGATGGAGCAGCTTTGTGATTTTCTTAATTATCCAACATTACACCTGATTCGTTTCTGTGTTTAAGGAACTCTAACTCACTGTCACCAGAGAACTATGTATTATAACATCTCATATATGGTACATACATTGAATTCTGCAAGTGGCAAACCACTGCCTCTAACAAACACATACATCAGCCAAGGCTTCTTACAAAACAGTACGATACCAGACTGGGGAGTAATATTTATAGGCCTGCTTATTTGTAAATCTTGCAAATATATTTTGAGACAAACTTTTATCATCATCTACTGGCCAAAGTTCCAGCGCTTTCTGTAGTTGGAATTGGTAGTCACTCGAAGCACATTTTGTAAATATAGACATACATATAGATGCATAGATGCGTAGCCACAGATACACGCAAAACACGCATTTAGGAACCGGAGCACTTTAGGACTCTGCTGTGCCCTTGCCTTTTAGCATTGGTATTTACATTGTTTAAACACCCACAATATATTTAGCTGTTTGGGTTTTTTTAAAAAAATCGATATTTTCAGATGAACGTGTATTTTCATCCTGTATATTCACCACCAAAATGAGTCAGAAATATAAAACGTTTCTACAGTCTATTAACCAACTTTAGAGCATGGAAGGGAGGCTGGGAATGTGGATTTGGCAGTAAACCAATTATTACATATGTTATTAAGCAAGTGTTCAAAGAGATGATGATAGAAATTCTGCAACAGAGCAGGAACTTTTGAGTGATGAACAGAAAAGCAAAGAAACACTGCATGTTTTCCTTAGCGCAACAACTAAGGTATATGTTAAATTGGATGGCTGTTTCTATATGCCTTTGCAACCAAAAAATGGTTCCCATTTATATCCTATCCATTCCTCTTACATTACAATGATATAATTCTCTCCTGAAATCAGTCTGTTCACTGTACCGTAATTATGAACTGGAGGGGGGTGCCTTCCCTGTTTGGATCTTGTATACTACTAATTTCCCGTGACACAATCTTTTTAACTACACTTTGTAGTTGTTTACTCAAATCCAGTGCCTAAATGACAAGAGGAGTATTAGAGGGGTTGCTCTGATCAGGCGACACCATCAACAACTCAGTAGGTCTGTGTCATTTCAAGACATTGGAAGTGACAATTTGATACATGGTGCTCCACTTTTTGTAGCAGTAGTGTCCCACTCCTAGAGATGACACTGGAGAGATTCACTAACCTGTATCCATAGTGCCATATGAAACACCAAAGACGGACATCATGACAACCAGTAATACTGCACTCTTGCAAAAAGGAACGAGATGAAGACCAAGTGTGGTAGCCAACAGTGACACTCCTGGGAAGAAAGGTAATAAGCCCAACTGTAACAGAAAGGATTCACGTATCGTTAACATCATAAAAATTTCCAAGAAGGCAAAATAAACCCAAATTAAAACCAAGTTATTTTGGGATGAGAGTTGCAGATTCTACAAGTGGTTATTTCATCTAAATCTTCTATAAGAGGGGCCATGGATGTAGCCCAGTGGCACCACACTGGCCTCACTAGTGCAAGGTCCTGAGTTTGATCCTCAGTACCAAAAAAAAAAGAAAAAAGAAAAATATTCTATAAGTTTTATGGACTATAAATGCAAATTACTATGACATAAAAATGATTATAGTACTGCTAATAATCAAACTAAGTTATATCATGAAGAAAAGTTTTGCAGCAAAAATAAAGGATAAAAATTATTTACTTAAATATTTCACATGTACAGCCTTTTAAGGGAATTTTAGATATGAGTTATCAATGTAAAATGTCAAAAAGAATATAATTCATATGGTATTTTATATTAAAATTTTAAATAAATTAGTTTGGGAAATATTGAGGGACATAAAGACATATCGTTGGTCTGGGATGTAACTCGATTATAGAATGCTTAAGTAATCAAACCCACATAGATATGACCTTACGTATTTAATACAGTGCGTTACCCCTGCATCAATGGAAAAAAATATGTAAGGTCATATCTATGAGGGTTTGATTACAGAAACTAATAAAGTATTCTCCAAATAATGAAAAAAAATAATATAAGACTACAAGAGCAAGAAGCAATTTAAATATGTTCAGGAATCATTTTCATCTTCAGAATTAAGGATTATTTTAATTTTACACCATTGCCTTTTCTCTTTTACTTTCCTTTTTAGTTTTATTTTAGGATTCCCTATTTTTAATTTTTATATAGGGATTTCTTTAACTGATCATTATAATTAAGCATAATGTCACAAATTTCAAAGTCATATTTTGCTGAATCCTAGAGTTCTAAATTATTCATTCTGACTGTTTTTAGATTAGCCAAAAATTTCCAGTTTATTGTTGTTTTTTATTTTGTACAAATAAGGCAGAGTTAGAAAAGAAAGGACATATGGCGATACTTCAAAGAGCTAGGACTAGAGGTTCCATTTGACCCAGCCATCCCTCTCCTGGGTATCTTTCCAAAAGAATTAAAAGAATCATACCACAGTGATATATGCATACCAATGTTTATAATGGCACAGTTTGTAATAGCTAAAACTTGGAAACAGCCCATTTGCCCATCAGTTAGAAACTGGATAAAGAAGATGTGGTTTTTCTATAAAATGGAGTACTACTCAGCCATAAAGAATGAGAAACTAGAGTCATTCATAAGAAAATGGATACATATTGAGGATATACTCTTAAGTGAAGTATTTACATGTGTAAATACTGAATAGTTTCTCTGGTGTGAAAAACTATAATAGTACACAAAATCCTAATGAGATAATTAATAATGTGAAATAGGAAGTAAAGGGCTAAAGGTGTAGGGAAAGTGGGAAGGGTGGGGGAAAGGTAATAAGGGAGAGGAAAAAAAATGAGAAAATGAAAAAATGGAAATAAAGTGTTTGTAAATGGGGAGGGGAGGAGGGGGTGAAGGGAGGGCAGGGACAAGGGGAAAAAATGAGAATCAAGACCTGTCATGTAAAGGTACAGGATCCCAATAATGAATGTAACTGTATTGTATACCTAGATTGTACCAATAAACTCAATAAAAAGAAAAAAAAAGAATGCTTAAGTAGCATGTAAGCAGCTTTGGGTTCAATCCCCAAGACAATAAAAGATTATACATGCAACTCACAATGGAAACAGACTAATTATTCATCAGCAATAACTTTTTCTCATTGCTTTGAAAGGAGTTTATCATGTTAATCCATAAACCTAAATTTTCTTTAATTTATTCAATGAATGTATGTTAAAAGCTTTGCCATTGTTCCGGGGCATGGTGGCGCACACCTATAATCCCAGCACTCTGGAGGCTGAGGCAGGAGGATCACCCTGAGTTCAAGGCCAGCCTGGGCTACATAGTGAGTTCAAGTTTAGCCTGGACTAATAGGGAGACCTTGTCTCAAAAAATAAACAAATAAAAAAAAGCTTTGCTAGGGCTGGGGATTTGGCTCAGTGGTCCCACTGCCTGCCTCGCAAGCACAACATCAATGTCCAGGGAAATAGGGTTGTCTGGGGTCATCACTGGTATGGGGCCACAGGGATAAAAACGGAGCCTCATCAGTCCCTCACTACCCTGGACCCCATCTTGTCCAGAGGCCATGGAGCTGGGGCAGGTTCCCAGTGCTCACTCTGATCTCTGCGGCCCTAAGAGATCTACGCTCCACCCTCACAAGCAGACCTCTTGCACACCCATGGTGTGACCCTGGAGTGGTTTCCAGAGGGCCCAGAACAGATTCCCTCTCACTGCCAAGGTGAGAGACAGCAGGGAAGTCCAGCTTCATGGAGGACGCCTAACCCTCCCCATTTCAGCAGGCTGCTGCTTTTCCTGTTTACAGATAAGGTGAAAACTCATTGAAAGTCAATGAAGTGAAATTGGTGTTTACTTACCCAAAAGTAAAAAGTGGTTCACACAGTCAAAAAGAATTCCTCCAAGCACAGAGCCACCCAAATATCCCACAGCACGACCCACAAATATTTCAGAAAGACTGCTCATATTTAGGTTCACATTTCTTGCCAAATCTTGAAAGGTGGGTCCCAGTATAGCAATAGTCATTCCCTGAAATTTAAAAGGAGCTGTTATTTACAAACAAAATAATATGCACCTAATTTATGTCCACTACAAACATGTGGGGAGTGGGTTACAATGAAATGCAGAAAATTTAAGGCCCCCAGTAAGGAAAAAATGTACAATGACAATACAAGTATTATTGGAACCATGGACTCCCCACTTTTCTTTTAAAATTCTCAATTCTTTTTTCTCATTGAGTTTATTGGTACATTTTAGGTATACAGTACAGTTACATTCATCATTGGGATCTTGTACTTTTACACGACAGGTCTTGGTTCTCATTTTTTCCCCTTGTCCCTGCCCTCCCTTCACCCCCTCCCCCCTTCCCTACTTACAAATACTTTATTTCCATTTTCTCATATTTTTTTTCTCTTCCCTTATTACCTTTCCCCTACCCTTCCCACTTCCCCTACACCTTTATCCCTTCTCTTCCTATTTCACATTGTCATTTATATCATTAGGATCTTATGTACCATTATAGGTTTTCCCATCAAAGAAACTATTCAGTATTTTTACATGTGTGACTTATGTATTTCACTTAGGAATATATCCTCAATATATATCCATTTTCCTATGAATGACTCTAATTTCTCATTCTTTATAGCTGAGTAGTATTCCATTTTATAGAAAAACCACATCTTCTTTATCCAGTCTCCAACTGATGGGCAAATGGGCTCAATTTTTTTTTAAATTATGTAATGATTGTGGCTTTTTGTTTCCTATAAGGTAAACACTAAGCTGCAACTAATCAGGCTGTTTCTGTATGTGACTTCTTTTTTCTATCTGCCTGCTCAAATGCTGGATAGATTCTCTAAGCCTTCACTGGTTCCTGTTTTCACAACTTGTGTAGAAACATTAGTACCACCATCACTGGAGAGTGCTACAGGAACGCCCCATAAGAAAACACATTTTAAGTAACCATGGCCACTGTGACAGAATCATCCTTTTCACATGAAAAAACATCTATAGAACCAGAAAACAGGCATGAAAGGTGGTAAGTGAGTAATACCCATTTGTAAGTGTTCAAATGATCCAGCAGGTACTAGAAGTGATATTTTTCTAAGCTGTTTATGATACTGCCAAATTAAATGGTAAAATATCTCTACTAAGTTGGAGTATTGGCCAACCTTTTATAGAAAATGATGAAAGATTATTTCACACGTGAGATAACTGGAGTAGGAATCAAGCAAGACAATTTCCTGTGCTTTACTTTATCTTTATTAGGTTTGGGATCACTAAGGAACAGAGTCCCCTCTATTAAAAGAGCTAAGGTTGTTCACCAGTGACATACTTTCTGCTATTTGCCTTTGAACTGTTAATATCATTTTAGTTAAGTGAATGACATATAGATAGATAGATAGATAGATAGATAGATAGATAGATAGATATACTGACCTGTGATCTTGTTTTGATTGTTTTAAACCCTTGAGTTGGGGAGCCTTTCAAAATCAAATTCTAAATTAAATCCTTTCATTACCTTGAATTAATTTTGGGATTTCCTATTCAGGTCTTTTTATTTTTTTTTAAAATACCGGGACTTGAACTCAGGACTTTTGCATTTGTGAGGTAGGCGCAGTGCCACTGAGCTAAATCCTCAGCCTCTATACAAGTCTTTTGAAAAGGAAATCTCTCTTTTCGAAAAAAGAGGTATTAAAGAGAACATATTTGATGTATTCAATTGGAAGCTTTGTCAAACAATAAGCAATGCCAAAATTTCAGTTGTATTTGTATGGCTGTGCTATTAGTATGTGTTTAAAACGGTATGTAATTCACTCCTTGTATAACGCCATCAGTCATAACACTGTTGTTAACTTAAAAAATGTTTGCCTCAGAAATAACCACATTTTCTGGTCCATTGTGTCACTGTTGTAATGATTTCTCATATCCTTAAGAAAGACCACTTAAAATACCATCATTTGCCATCAATTGCTTGATCTGTTACTTTTCAGAGCGACTATCAATTGGTGTTCAAGGACATCCATGGAAAAGACTTTCAAGTACAGGTTTCTGATAATTTTAAGATCACTGCATTGGACCAGGTATGAATTCTCAAACTTTAGTAAAGAAATGGACTAGATCATGAATACCAAGCCAATGTATAATTCAACCCAAGCCCAACTAAAGTGAATTAGATACTAAGGAAATGACTTGGCTAGATTTTGATGTTAAGGCAACCAGCACAGAAATTCAGCCACACAATTTGAATGTGATCCATACCAATGAGCCAAGCCTCACTGCTTAGCACATCATCTATTTAATGTATGCACCTGAACTAGAGAAATGAACTGCTAAGTCTGAACTCAGGGAGAGTTGCGATAGCTTGCCTGGTCCTTGCTAAATTTTATATCTTTCACTACTCAAAAGTCTGCTTTCCATGACTCACCACTAAATGATCAAAATTCCGACAAAACATTGATAGGGTTAGATTATGGAACGCAACATTTTATTATAATCAATTTTTGTTCATCAAACTCATAATACTGATAGGACAATAAAAACCTCAAGTGCCCCAAGAATGATATAACATTTAAAAAATGTGAAGTTTCAGGCGGACGATTTAGCTCTGTGGCACCGCGCCTACCTCACAAGTGCAAAGTCCTGAATGAGATCCCCAATACCGCAAAAGAAAAAAAAAAAAAAAGGTGAACTTTTGATTAAAACAGTATTGTGGGCAGAGTAAGAGATGTTCACGGCTCTACCATTCAACTAGCTATGTGATCCCAAAATGTCACTTTCTCCCTGGGATCAATTTCCTAACTACAAAATTAAGTGGTTGGCTGAATTTGGTCAGGCCATTAGGAAGAGGAAAATCGAGAAAATCTCTTTCTGCGTAATAACTCGGCACTTGATAGAGCACTAGCTACAGATCCGGCCAGTCCCTTTCTTGTCTCCCCATTGAAACAAGGACAGGAAGGAAGGTTTGCTGCATTGGCAAACATACTAGGAAAATCAAATTCCCACTTGGCGGTAGCCCTCCGCGATTACAGCCGTGCCCGCGTGACAGATGAGGAAACCGAGGCCCAGGCGGATTAGCTAGTGACCCAGGGCGACACAGTGTGCAGGGGCCAAGGCGAGACTCCGACCGGGAAGGCCGCGTTCTCCGCAGAGAACCTCTCGGCCCGGGAGGGTTGCGGCCCCAGCTCTCACCAGCCCCAGGAAGGCGGCGTACAGGACCGCGGTGGTGAACCAGCGCAGCGCGCTCCCTGTCCGGGGCGCCGCCACCGCCTTCGGCTCG